GGGGGGGGCGGAGGGGGTAGGTTTAAAAAAAAAAAGATAAACTGTTTGGTTTTAAATTTGGGATAATCTTAAGGCAAGAATTGACTTATTTAAACTATTTAGAAAATATTTACAGGTTTAAAAAAGTTAGTTTAAAAAATTAAATACTGTGACAGAGTATAAATAATCAATTTGCTCTTCTTTCTCCTTAGTATCAAATGTAGAGAACTTTAGGAATAAATGCAAGAAACTATTATCTCACACTTGCCCAGCTAACTCTCTCAGATTCTCTGGCCTCTTTTGAAAAGTTCTGCAATTGGAATCAGGCTGGTTTAGGTTTCACAACATGTGGAAAAAGTTACTACTGGAACAAAAAGAAGTAATAATCAAAATGCTACCTGAATCTTCCTTTTTTGCTTCTCTATGGAAAACCTAGATCCAGGTCTCTGGGCATCATCAGGAAACAAGATCGAGTAGCTTCAGGCTCTGCTCCAAAACTCTGACCCCAGGAGCTCTTGGACAGGCTTCACAGTTAATATTTTCAATAGGACTGCTAGGTAACAAGCTGCTTAGGGCAAATAAACAGGATTGTTAGCTTAGCTGTCATACCCAAACCCATTACCACTCCCAATTACCAGAATTACCCTGTGATTACTAGCATTTATCTGCGGTTTAATCTTACAGCTCTCTGTTAGCGTTCTGGGCACATTTTTTTTCTTCTTTGCTAGCAATCCTTATTAGTTCCCACCAGCATTCCTCATTCTTTTATATTTGTTGTCTAGAGAAAATGAAAATAGATTTTTTGAAAAGAACAAAAACTTTGTATTGAATTACATTAAAAGATTGTGTTTATAAAATGTGCTCATAAAATATTTGTTATTCTTTTCCATTAGCTTTTTAATCGATAAAAACCCTTCATGTTAAGCATAATGCACTTTATCTTGTTACTCCTAAGCATCTAGCATTGTGAATCCTAAGCAACTCTTTGAGAAAACATATGCATACTTCTTAGATTTCAGAAGAGAAAATATCTTCCAGAAATAAAAAACCTGAGCTCCTGGTTCAAAAATGTGATTAAAAGTTCAAATAAGATCTTACTAGTAATTTTTAAATTTTATATCTTAAGTAAGTAAGTTAAATTATATTTATACACATTGTATGTAATATAAATATACATTTATTTTATTGTTCCTGCTTCCAATTTAATTTTCAGCAAATTTTTTACATTATATTATCTGTATAATTGTATAGGATTTAAAGGAAAAGAACATTTGGAAGATCAGAATTATAAAGTTTTAAGAGGAGCTATTCACCAAAGTCACTTGACCCTAGAAGAGCTTAAATAACAGTTCAGACAGTATGAGACTGTATGTATGTATGAGTGCATTATTACAGTAATACATGTAGTATTATTATTCATTCATTCACTCATTCATTTATTGGAAAGAGGTAGCTCCATGTGCTTTCAACCCTGGAAGCATATCAGCATCATCTAGGATACTTTATTTTTTAAATGTTCAACTCGGCCTGTTGCACTTCACAGAAATAGACCTAATTACAATACTTTTATGCACTTAAATGAATGCAGTAGGACATGCGGGGAAAGGGTGGAAAATTTCTGCAGTTCACGAGCAAGACAACCAAGTACAGATCAGAATCTTAACCAGCCTCACCCTGGCGTGCTGTACTCAGGAAATGACAGTGAATACCTTAGCAGTAATATCCCTCATATATATGTCTTGGTTTCCACTGCTCTATTCTAGATTGTTTTCTCTCACTCTACTCCTGGGAAAATCAGTGGACGGGGCCATGACTTCATCCTGTAACATAAGTTTATTCTTTTTTCACACAACCTGAAGTCTACCATGCTTTACATTTTCCCTTCTTTCTAGTTTTATTCTTGTTCT